TTGTAAGTGCAATGACACCGAATGGACAAAACATATTAAGATATGAAGTTTTATCAGTCTTATCATGTCTTTATGTAATGGCAACTGCTTGAGCTGATACTCAGAAAACACAACATGTTGATTCATTAGTTTAGCTCGAACCGGGAACATGAGGATGAGACCAATGGAGAATATATACACCAAATCTGATTTACACGGTCTATGAATAATGCGAGACACCCATCAATACAGATTCTACAACATTCCCCATATTGTATTTATTGTCCACGATAATGTATCCTATGAATATAACTTCCAGTGGAGTACATCATATTGTAATCCCTCAAAAATGAAAAGAGGTAAAAACACAACCTTATGGAATTAGAATACATGTAACATTAGAGTAGGTAATTAAGAGTAAATGAGATGATTCAAACTTTAAAGTTCAGTTTGACGAAAAGAGCATGATATGACTTGAATAATGAGTGAGAGGTAGTATTACATGGATTTAGTGGGCACATGTTGATATATCACTAAAAATCTCAGTGTACACAACATTGTGTGTTTGATTTTCATGTTCAATGAGTTGTTTTCAATAAGCACACACAAGCCCTTGTGGGTGATGTAACGACGTGAGAACATAACATAAAGTTGCCCATGAGAGAGAACACCAGGCTTGGTAAGTAGACACCAACTTTGCTAAGTGTCTGTCCTTGGCTTTTGTTTATTGTCATCACATATGATACCCGGACTGGGAACTACCCCCGTTTTATCTTAAAGGGCCATTTAGGATCAGCTGAAATGGAGATTACTCTTGGAATGTAAGCTTTAGTTCCCTTGGCTTTTCCTGTAATTATTTGAGCTTCGAGAAAAACACTCTGTTCGACCAGCTGGGAGTAACAAAGCTGCTATGCCAGAAGATGCAGCTGCTAATGCTGTCTTCCCCTTATTTCTAACACTGCTGAACAAAGTATTCCATAGAAACGTCTTACCAGTGCCACCATCAGCCTGTTCGGGAGACCGTATCGTATCGTGGATTATTTACTGCTGGCTGGTTTGTTGTGAGAGAAAAACACTGTTCCCGGCTGGAAATTTACGATCGTTTACGAGCAAGCGAACAGGCTGCATATCTATAAATGAAGAAGGTATACCCTGATTCATTTGAGATTGAATGCTCTATAATATCGTAGATATGCCTCTGCTCCGAATCGAGTTGAGTGATCAATTGGTTTACTTCAGCGGCTGCATCGTTTGAAGAATACGAAAGCTCCTCCATTATTAATCTATTTGTGAGTACCTCTGAAGAACTTTAATCTGGCTTTGGTAAACTGAAGTGATCTAGGCTGTATCCAGCATCGCTGAGGAGTTTTTGTAGCTCCTGTAATGCATAGGATCTGATATGTTGTTGTATGATAACATCTGGGGCCTCTGGAGCTAGCTGCTTTGCACAGCATGCCATGTCCTCGCCCATTACCTTTATATATTCTTCAAGTAATTTGAGTGGGTCTTTGACTTCATAGAAAAGTAGTAAAGTGACAAATAACTGTCTTAATTGATATGGAAATGCCCAATGTGATGCATCATTCATTGCATGGAATCATTCCTGGTCATCACCAAGTAAACCCAATGCGTCACATGCTGCACAAAATGTTGGGTGTTGCTATCCAGCAATGGTGCGAATATCAGAAAAGCATTGCGGTCCTTTGACTATGTGTAGCAACATTCGTAGGTAAAATCTCTCCCCTTGGTTCGGAGCAACATTAGCAAGGCGTCCAACCTTTGGCCGATTGTTGCGGCATGTATCCCAAAATTTGCCATCAGTATGCCATGTCCAAAGTTCAGAGAAATCTACATAAGTGTGTTGTCGAGCAAGTAGATATTGCTTGTTTGCGTCAAACCATATTGAAACCCAGTTTGTACTCTTTGTTCGGCAAAAAGTATGCATATCCACTGTTGGACGTACATTCCAATTAGATCATGGTTAGCGGATTCCAATGAACTCCGATTAGATCATGGTTAGCAGATTCCAATTAGACCATGGTTACCTACGCGCATAGTACTAGTATAGAATATGCGAGCTGGCTAGCCGCCGTGAGCTCGTGATACACCTCCTAGCTAGCAAGGGAACCAATCAGACTCTTTTAACTCATCACGAGCCTGACTTGCCCGGTGACGAAAACTTCATTTTTAATTAAATTGCACTAGAGAAAATGTGAAGCTACTTCAACAGGAGTACTTGCTGTGTTGTAAGAAAAAAAAAAGGAGTACTTGCTGCTGAACAAGTCCAGTACACTGTTTTATTAATCAGACTTTTCAGCCTATTCGCTTGTTGGATTCAGTCAGGGCTTATCAGTCAACCAATATTATTTTTCTCTCACAACAAACCAGCACCAGTCAGGTTTATCAGTCCAGAAACCGACCAACGAACATGACGAAAGAGAAAAGGGAGAGAGAGAAGGGCAGGCGGGCAGGACAGGACTGAGAGGACCGAGAAGACCAAGCGCCCCTCGCGGCTAAGGGGGTGTTAGGATCCAGTGACTAAAATTTAGAAGGTGTCATATAAAGGTGTTGCATGAGGTGTTCGGATACTAATAAAAAAATAAATTACAGAAGCCGTCAGTAATCCACTAGACGAATTTATTAAGCCTAATTAATCCATCATTAGGGCCTGTTTGGTTCCAAATAAGTCACCTACTTATAAGTTAAAAAGTGAAATAAGTGACTTATTTTGCCAAACACCACCAACTTATAAGTCACCCCTGCTTATAAGTTTTAAGTTGGTTCACCCCTGCTTAAAACTTATAAGTCACCATTTTCCGCGTGGAGCCCACACCTTTAATGAGTTTATAAATCATCTACAACCAAACATGCATGACTTATAAGTCATTGGTTTTCAGTCACCTGACTTAATAAGTCATGATTTATGGAAATCAAACAGGCCCTTAGCACATGTTTACTATAGCACCACATTATCAAATTATGAATTAATTAGATTTAAAAGATTGGTCTCGTAAATTAGTGATAAACTTATGTAATTAATTTCATAATCAGTCTAACATCCGATGGCACAGCGAGGAGGAGACAAACACCCCCTAACACTCGCGACTCGCGAGAGAAGCGGCCGCAGGCGCAGCCACCGCAGCACAGCTCCTCGAGTCCTCGCCCAGTCGCCGCCCGCGCCCTGCCTCCGCGCCCCTCCCATTCCCCACCGCGCTTCAGATTCCACAGACGAGTAGAGGCAAAAGGTAGGAGCCGAATCGAGGCGCCGCCTCGCCCGCCCACCCCGCTGCTCTCCTGGGCCACCGCGGGGCGGAGATCCGCACCGGACTTCCCGCCGCTTCCGTCGGTTCCTGGTAAGGATGCAAGCCCTAGCCTTTGCGTGTGGAGTGGGTTGTTGTTCTAGGATTGGATCCTGCCCCGCGGGATCTTCCCTCTCCCCTTTGCTCTGAGGCAAATCAAGCCCGAATCTTTCTTCTTGGGATCGACGGGTTCGCTTCCTATGCACGCCGAGGGGTGGGCAGCTTGCTTTCCCGGCAATTTGGGGGCTCGGCGGAAACGAACCCAATCGCCTTGCCATGCCCTGCTTGTTTGAACCAGTAGTAAGTAGCAGCATAGTCGTTCATTATAGGAACTACTAAGATGCTCAGTGCTTATTTAGTTGCTCCACACCACAACGCTCTACATGTGAGGATTTATTTTAGTGCAATGCAATGCAACCCCTACAAAGCAGCTGGGATTGGCGTGCACCTGGCCTTTCCACTGCCGGCTGTCAAGGCCTGCTCTATGTCCCTCCATCTCTCACCTCCGAGTTTCATCTTAATTTGGCCATGTGCCTCGTTTTTTTGCAGTGCTTTCCCTGGTTCGTCTTCTCAGCTAAGATGGCATAGATATGCTAATTTGGGACACAGCTCCATACTGCTATCTGATGCACGTATTTATCATACGAATTTCATTCCTGCACAATATTTTTTACTGATTTGAGTGCTTCGTCCGTGACTAGCTACTGTTTTTCCCCTGATGCTTCGTGCAAGTGATGGAAATGTTTTTTGGCTGTATGGCTTGTGATGAAAATGAACTCCCATATAACTTGGGAGTATAGACTGATGATCTTGAAAGGCCCACGGCATGTTCATGTATATATATGTATTGCTATCTGTTTATTTATCCTATCATGCCACTTCCCTAGGCTAGGTCTATTGCAATTCCATGTCAAGGCTGGCACTATACCCCACTCCTCTCTGCATCCATTGTTTTCTGTATGTGCCGGCAACATGAATTGCTGCAAATGATGCTATTTCTCAGTGCATGCCGTTCTGCCTAGCTACAAGAGATCAAATGATGTCATTTTGTTCATTTCTGAGGCTACTCTTATTCCCTAGATTTTTTTCTATTTGTTTATTGTCGTACCCTTGAAACAACATGGCCATTTGGTTTGCTTCTGAGCCTACTCTTATTTCCCTTTGTCCCTACATTGTTTTTATTTTTTAATTGCCATGCCCTTACAACAATCTATTGCTACGCAGGTACGAAAAGGCAATGTCAGTTCCATCAAATAGATCAGTTACTGAATAATGTTTAGTGGTATTGAGTACTTGCACATCAAAAAATTATTGTTGACAATTCAGTTAGTATTTTCTCTTCAAGATAAAATACATCTCAATCTCTGATAGACGCCTCCACAAATTACATGCTAAAAGGTTTTGCACTATCAAAGCCCATCCGAACATTGAGCCTGAATAATCCCGGCACATTCTCCTGTCCCATCGCTGGTATACTGGCGACTCACTTGTCACTTCAGCCGCCGTCGCTTCGCTCGTCTCCTCCTCCTTCCAACTCCGGCGCCGGCATCTTTTTCCTCGCTCCACCCCCGCTCCCCTCCTCTCCCCCTACGAAATCTAGGATCCAATGAGCAGCATCGACTGACGCCCGCTTCACTGGATTATATGGCGACGCCGGCGAGCCTCCATCCCGCCTCGCCGCCGGCGATATCAGGCGTCGTGGCGGTGGCGGCGTGCGCCGCCATGGCAGTATCCTACGTCGCTGTCCTCTATGCTCCGATGGTCATCCTCCGCTTCCGCCCCGACCTCGCTCCGCACCTTCCTCCACCGTCGTCGCCGCGCCTGCGCCGCCGTCGCATCCGCCGCCTCTGCCCTTGCCACCGTGTCCCTCCTCCGAGTAAGTGCCCGTGCTCTCCTCCGGTACATACTACATACTTCCTCTCCAATACCTGAACCTGAACTGAACGAATACCAAATCCCCCATCTTCTCGTCTTCCTCTTCAGGTCTGGAGCCTCAGCGACTTTCGCTGATATGTTTGCTGTGTTCGGCGTTAGGAAGGATCACTTGGTAAGTGATCTTTTCCAAATATAAGCTACAATCTTGTAGCTCGCTCATTAGTGTTGAGCTTTTCATGCTTGTATTGAAACACTGGTTCTTCTGCAGATTCAGGCCGTGGCGATTCCACTTCTCCTTACATCCCTAGTGTATGCTGGGTCATTCGTCACTAGATTGTGGCTCCTAGAGAGTTCTTGGGGCAGTGGCGATGAGGTGGAGATAGGCTGCGCCCAGAGGCTTGCACAATGGATCCAAGCTGCTGTTGCGGATGTTATGGTTTGGCGGAACTATGTAGTGGTCTGTCCTTCTTCCCCCTTTACCTTTTTCTCTACTTATAAGATACTACACGTTGTAAACCAGTGATCGAAGGTTATTGTAGCAAACTAGCAATAAATGAAGAATTGTTGACTCATTGACCATAATTACCAGCTAACAATTACTGTAGTGCCTTTGCAATCTGTAGTACTGTTTAGGATGCTACTGATATTAATTAGCGCTGCTACTGAGAACACTCTGCAATCTGTAGTACTGTTTAGGATGCTACTGATATTAATTAGTGCTACTACTGAGAACACTTTGATTCCCTCTTCTATTGTAGTGATATTGTTTGGTGATGACCTTTTGACCAGGCGCCATTTACTGAGGAGCTGGTTTTCAGGGCATGCATGATACCTCTTCTTCTATGCGGGGGATTCAAAATGTCTACAATTATATTTCTGAGTCCAGTCTTCTTCAGTCTAGGTAAATTTCTATAGCATCGTTCTATTTTATTTTTTTTTATTCTGAAGGAATCAACTTTGCCTGTATCTTTTTTAACCTTCTCATGTACGGGCGCACGTCTGTGAACGGGTGGCACAATGAGTGAAAGGACCCTGCTCCGGAGCACGGTGCAGGGCAAGATAGTAGCTAGGTTCTTAAGAAAGTTCGGATCCCGTCAGAAGTTTCAGTTAGTCAGGGGCATTGGATTAGTAATGGTTGTCAGTTCGGTTTGTTAGGATATCTCGTTTGTTACGGGGTTTGGATCGTTAGCTGTTATGACCCGCATTCTATATCAATGTCGTCCCAAGCGTCACCGTGGTGAACCAGCGATAGCATCGACATCGCTTCAGTCGGTTCAGGGGAAATGTTTCTCATTTTGTTAGCCCAAAGATAGGAGTTTGTTTGGTTTGATAAGTTTGTTGGTTTGTTAGGATTCGGCTATTTAAATAGCCCAAACACTATCATTTGATTGTTAAGCAAGATCAGTACAGAAGTTGTTGCTTCTTGACCAGAACCCATTTACGCTCTCACCTTGCCATGCGCAAGAAGGGCACCTGCTCGGTGCTCGCTGTCAAGGGTTCAAACCCTGGCTGCTGGTCACTCACCATTGTGCCCTCCGCAGCCTTTCGGGTCCTATGATCCTATCTTTGGCAGATTGATTTAGAAATTAGATGGAGTTGGCTGATTGTAATTGGTGAACTCAAGCAATAGATGGAATCCATCATCCACTACCTCTTGCTGTCCCTGCCTCTTGGTCACGTGTGCGCCATTGTTGGCTTCTAAGCCATGGCCTCAAGGTCTATGGCCACGCCTGAGTACGTCATACGATTAAAGCCTACGCAATGCTCCTGCCTCCAATCATCCACGACCATCACTTCTGGTATTTGCTTTGTCTGGTTCCAATCCCATTTTGCAAGACAAGCTCTCCAAGAATATCGACGTCGTCATATCCATTGACATCCATCCTCATGGATCTGAAGCAGATGGTCCAGTCCCTGATTCTGTTGGTGCCAATAGCAAAGATCCTGGAGTCGCTTGCCAGTGAAGGTCATGAGCCTCCAAGCGTCGCATGACGAGAGCGCCAAACAGGTTTGCGCGTTGAACCTCGCAATATCGTGTCTGGATCGCACACTGCGTGGCGACAAGGACCCTACTTAGGATGAGGCCGGTCTGATCAGGCGACGAGAACCTAAAGTTTTCCACTCTTTCTTGCTCTAATTTATGATTCGTTTATTAACCAAATTGCTGCATACCACATCTACATTGTATTGCCTATACGTTCTCTGTTGTTGATATTGATGTACTCTTCTAATTAGAACTGAACCTTTCTGTTGACAGCACACTTAAACCATTTATTCGAACTACACCAGCAGGGATGCAATTTTATGAGATCGCTACTGATTGTAGGTATTTTTCTTTACACATCTTGTTTTCTCCTTTAGTATCTTCCTGCAATGGTTTGGGGAAAATCTTGAGCTAGATTAACTTAGCATTGGTGTCAGAAACTGAGCAGACTTTCGGACCTCTATTGAACTAACTTTATTTCTATTGAAATCAAGGAGAACTATAACATATTAGGTTAATATGTTTGTTCTCCAGTGACAAGTTTACCTTTAAATCAGTTGCACAATGGTCTCAAATATTCACTACCACTGTACTGCATCTGCATTCCAGAAGAGTCAACATAGAATACATTAAGCTATGGTCTTAGTATTCCTACATTCTTCTATGCTATAACCTTAGGCTTGTTTTGCAAATATTAACTTCTTGAGTGAGATGGTTCCAGTTCAGGCACTGGGACTTATTGCTCTTACAAATTGTATCTGAAGCTAGAAACCTACACTTTTACCTTTTACTATGCTTGGTAAGAAAATTGGCATCTTCAAACTCATTAGTCTTCTTTGGTTCTCCACATATTTTTCTCAGGCATTGGCATAAAAAAATGGATTACTTCTGTTTCATCGATTGTGTACACCTAATTGCTGCACTTTCTGAGCTTGATTTAACTTCTTACCTTCCCTCCTCAGGTGTCCAGTTAGGCTACACTGTAATCTTTGGATGGTACGCTGCATTTTTGTTCATTCGAACAGGTCTCACTCATTCCTTTATGTTGTCACCTGTGTTATTATTTTCTTGCTATTCTTGCTGGAACTCTTTTTCCGGTTTTAGAATTGAAGTCTCCATGTTTATCATTCATACTTGGTTGTTGGTTCATGCTATTTCATGCTCGATCAGTTTTTTGGATAATCAAATTTGCACTGTACGTGTTATGATTACCAGTTATGTTTTAGTATGATATTCCATATTGCAGAAACACGAAAAGCAAAACTGTATGACAGCAAAATGATGATTCCATGTTCCATATTTCATCTTTGTTTTTTCAACCATATTTTGGTACATTCGACTAAGTTTATGGATTGTAACCTGGCTAGATGATTGTGCTTGCACTCTAATTTCCATTTGGTTCTATGACATGATGGATGGGGACTATAGATATTTTACTGTAAGCAATTTTAATATGGATCTGATAACAAGGTTTCATTGTTGATTGACTTTGAAAACAAACTACAGGGAATCTGTTATGTCCAATTATTGCTCACGTCTTCTGTAATATGATGGGTTTGCCTGTTTTCTCGTCACCACGAACAAAAGGTGTGTATTTGTATACATATATGTATGTCCTGTTTTCTTTTGATAAAACAAAATAAAACATTAAGATTTGTAAAGTTATTATGCCCAACTTCTTATGTGGCCTTATGTTTTTCTGTCATAGGAGCGGCATCGGTAGCGTTTCTGGCTGGTTCAATAGCCTTCTTTTGGCTGCTTTTCCCTGCAACAAGTCCTGAACTGTTCAACAGCAGTTTTGATCGCTGCAGTTGCTGGCATGGCTTTTGCAATTGGAAATAACATAGAACTAGATTGGAGAGCAATGGATCCCAACTTGAAGCTACTAACAAGTGAAACCCCCAGGGCCCTGGCTGGCACTGCTGTCAGATTTTTCATTTGCAGGAACTCCATATGAACTAGACAGATCCCCGCGACAATTGCCGCGGGCTAGGCTCTCGCGGGCTAGGCAGAGCCAGCTGACACTATCAGTTTTTTTTTGCCTCTAAAACATGTATGCATCAATTGTTTGTGGCGTGCATAGGTAAGCCTTGCAAAAGATATTTTTTCTTGAGATATGAACAGATAAAAGTTGAGCATCTCCATAGTGACACTCAAAAGAAAAAAAACATTTGTAGACAAGAAGCATGATAAATTGTGTACCGACTACTCAACACCCTGTTCGGTTGGCATGAAACGGCTTGCTGGGCTGGATGTGCTTGGGCTTATTAGCCCAGCTGTTCGGCAGCCTAGCCCCAGCCGAACGGCTGGACAAAAAGTGACGCCAGGCACTGCGTGCCACTCCCTCCCTTCCTCCCTCTTTTCCCATTCGCTTTGCGCGGCTAGGGTTCCGCTGTAGTCTCGCTGCTTGTCCGCGTCTCTGTGCGCGAGTCTTGATGGTCGTGGCCACCGGGTCCCGTCGTTGGTCAGTGGATCGGTCCCCGCTCGCCTCTTTACGCCATGACGCCGAGTCTCGCCGTCGACAGCCTCGATGACATTGAGCTCCGCCTCCTCCTCCTCGCCTCCATCGACGCCGATCGCCTCCAAAGAAGGTACCCCCTCGGATCCCACGCCGCCGTAGTCTCACCCGACCGGATCTGAGCCCCACGGCCTCGTCTTGTAGGTTTCCCCCGCGCCCCACCCCCCATCACCGCCACGACTGTGTGGTCGTGGCGGCCCTTCCAGTGTTTCCGATCCGCCCACTGAGAAGGTTTATATTTCAGATCTATGTTGAACATAACTTTGTTGATCATACATAACTTATTGTTGACGTGTTCCGTCCTGTGTTGCCTCCGAATTGTGCAGGATGACGAAGCTGGTGCAATCCTAAATTGGTGATCAGTGTTGTAGTACGTTGTACAATTCCAAACAAGACAAGACTCTATTAATTGGTGTTCAAGGTTCAGCTCGACCTGCAGAAGGTTAGTAATTCATGCGTCATTTAGTAAACTACTTATTGCAGTTTGTGTTCTTGATCCTGAGAACACTGGTTGTCTTGTATACATGCATCACAAGAGCTCGATAGTAAATATCCTGCATTGTACGATGCTAGTTGGTTTTGCAATCATCTTTCCTATTGTAATAGTCTGGCCTCTTGTCCTCCCTATGTTTAAGGGCGTTGTTTCCTTTGATTTGAGCTATCTTTGAAATATGCTACCATTAGTGGTGAGTTTGCCTTACTCTCCTCTCTAATTATTATATTTGTTTTAACTTAGCTGTTGTAATTGCTTTCTTGAGTTTGTACCCCATTTGTATTTTGATAACGTCCTATTTCTATGTGTATATCTGTTGGCGGCTACAAATTTGAGTTCATATGTCCTTGTTGTCTAGTTTATAAATAATAATCTTGTATGATTTATAATGTTCATATGCACAACTTGGTAGACGGTTTTAAGAGTACAATCGTGCTACTGTTCATGCATTATGTTTTGTTGAACCTAAACATTATGCTCTATGTTTACGCTTCAGAGAATTTAGGGACGTTTCATCCGTTGGTGCTCAACGCTGCCTACACTGGCAGCGTCGTCGACTTCGTCGTGCTCTCCACCTACAGCCAGACAGTACAACCTCCGTTCAAAACGCCCGCAAGCGTTTTGGAAAGGCAAGTTTCCTTTTCCTTCGTCCAATCCCTTCTTTGCGTAATGCTAGGAACATCTGTTTTCCATTTCCATAGCATCCATGTACATAATACATCGGAATGTCGAACATTGCATCGGATGAACCATGATCATGCTAGCTGGGATGACAGAACCTGCTCATTGTTTCTTGAGCTAATCACTCAGCGGAAAAACCTATGTCACTGGGGCAACAATACCCCAACCGCTACCGGGTGGACAAATGTCCATCGTGCCTTTAACGAGGCCACAAGGCTCGAGTACAACAAGAAACTGCTCCAGAACAAGTACAACGAGCTCAAAAGGGCGTATTTCAATTGGCGCGACGGTCGGATTCATACTGGGCTAGGCCGTGACCCGCATACTAGAGAGGTGACAGCTGACCCTAGTTGGTATGCCGCAGGCACCGGGGTACTAACTACACCCTTTTCGTTGACTCTTTTTTAGCATTTATGTTCGCACTAACTGACTACTAACATGGCCATCCCTGGATCGCGTGCAGGAAAGTAGCCAAACCGCTCGTGAGAGGTTCAGACGTCCACACTGCTGTGAGCAACTGATCTTGATTTTGGGACGCACCCCACGTGACAGGGGCGAGTTGGTATCTGCAGGGGGACATCAACCTGACCGTACATCCAGCAGTGCAAGCCCTCAGACTCCTCAAGCCTTGTCCGACGAGCCCGTACAACCACATAGTGTTGGTCAGTCCTCCAAGAGAGTCACTAGGGACCATTCCGTTAACAGTCCTCGCAGTAAGAAGAGTAGCAGGACTCCAACCCTTGATGATTGCCTTGATGACCTGAGCAACATTATCAAGGATACTAGGGCGCATAAGGCCCATCAAGTCACTGATGCCGAGGAGATGGCCCAAGTCAATCAGATTCTGAAGCAAGATGGTTACAACAAGAGTGATGTAGTCTTTGCCTAAGCCCTTAATCTTTGCAACAACAGGCTCCGTCGTCGGGCTTTTCTTGATTTGGAAACAAAAGAGGGCCAGCTGAACTGGGTGAATGTCTCGTGGGACTTCATTTTCTCCAAGTCCAAGTGATCAGCAGCATACTTCCTCCTGCGGCTTCTTTAGTTGTTTTAGTTTTCCAGTATGAGCATGTTGAGTTGTTTATGTACCTTGTTAGCGTTATGTTCTTTTTGTTCGTTTTAATAAAGACCGTTGTCGAGAACTATGTTCATAAGCCGTAAGCTGGCCTGGCAGAGTTACAGGCATACAACCCATCCAACATTGGACTACATGAGAAACTAGGGGAGCCAAGTCTACATGAAAATAGTAAAAAATAATGCAGTTTATGCTAACCCTCAAAGCTACGGATGTGCAAGTCCTATGCTTCCCTATCAATCCGTCCCTACGTAGCCATCCACATCTGGGAGCAGAAACCCTAACCCTAATGAAGCGGATCTAGAAGTGTGTAGCAAAAATGGGATGAGAAAGACGGGAACGTACCGAAAGTGGTGCTGCAGGGAGAGCGGAAGTAGGAGAAGGTGACGGATCCGGTGCCTTCGACAGCGGCGTCTGCGGGTCGGATCTAGAAATCGTGCGAAGGCCACTGAAGAATCGGCCGCACGTGGAAGCAACGGTGGCGTCGAGGAGGGAAGCAACGGAGCCAGCTGAAATAGAAGTAGGGATTCAAGGATTTGTAAACCCTAACAACAGGGATGGTCATCGACCAACGATTAAGGGGAAGGCGTGGAGTGGACTACGTACCCGAAAGGGCGGATCTGGTGCCGTAGGCGACGAAGGGGCTGGATCTGCTTGGTAAGACGACGATGACGAAGCGGCGGCTCGGGGACGGCGACGCCGAACCAAATCCGGCGAGACGCCCCGTGTGGATGTCGCCTTCCTTCTCAGGCCCAAGGGATGGGAGGGGATAAGGACGAAGGGCGGCCGGCGGCGATACGGGATTGGGGGCGCGGGCGAAGAAGTCACCTCGGCGGCAGCGGCACCAACAGCAGGGAGCGGCGGAACCCTAAGCGTGCGAGCGAAAGCGAGACGGGAGAGTGAGGATGGCGGCTGCTGGTTCTTCTAGAGCAGCCGAACGGCTGCACTAGGCCTGGTGTTCGTCTGGGCCAGAAGGCCCAATCAGCTCCAGCCGATTTCAGCCACCGATTCGAGCAGCCGAACAGAGCCACAGTACTAGTATAGAATATGCGAGCTGGCTAGCCGCCGTGAGCTCGTGATACACCTCTAGCATAGCAAGGGAACCAATCAGACTCTTTGTAACTCATCACGAGCCTGACTTGCACGGTGACGAAAACTTCATTTTTAATTAAATTGCACTAGAGAAAATGTGAAGCAACTTCAACAGGAGTACTTGCTGTGTTGTAAAAAAAAAGGGAGTACTTGCTGCTGAACAAGTCCAGTACACTGTTTTTCCCCTTTGTTATTGGAGTAGTATTAATCAGACAAAGAGAAAAGGGAGAAAAACAAAAGAGGCAAAGAGGCATGGAGGCCCTCTCTAGCCTCCATTTTCTGGTGCGTTATAAAGAGGATAGTTGTTATAATAAGGCCGGCCGCTGCGTCCAAGCGTGCGACGACAGCGGGTTTCGTCGGGATTGGATGACACAATAGGGGATGACCGGGACTAGATAATGACATGGCGGTGGAAAGGAATAGGCGACGAAGAGGGCGGATATGTCAAGGCATGATGCCACGTGGATGGGTAAAGTTTTTTTTTTAACATCCACAAGATTTTTCTTTTGAGAGGCACGCGGTGAGTTTTTGCGAGAAGCACGCGTTGAGTGCTGATTGGCAAAGAACTGCGGATGCCCTCTCCGACCTCCATTTTCTTGCGAGTTATTATGACTACTACTTGCTCTGTGGGGTTGATGAGTTCATACGGTGTTTGTATCTCTGTGCACAGCCGAGCATCTCCCAGAGTTTCTTATTTTTTTTCTCCTAAAAACTTATAGTTCGACAACTCCTAAAAAGATTTAGGAAGAAAAAAAGAAGGTCATCTCCAAAAGTTTCTAATAAATGGCATCTAAAAACATCGTCGACCTGGCTGTCAGACTCGTTGGCCCACGCCCACAGCACGCGCCGGCCGTGGGGCGCGTCGAAGAAGGTCTTGGACGCGTACACGTGGCCATAGTCCAGCCGCCGCCAGGCGCGCACGTCGTCGCCGCGCTTGGGCTCCGCCGGCACGAACGCGTCGGCCGCGTCGTCGTACCGTCCCACCATGTAGTAGTCCTGGAGCGTGTCCATCACGCTGAGCTTCAGCACGTGCCGCACCCCGTCGTCGCTCGCCGACGCATCGAGCCCGGAGTTATCACCGCGCTCAAGCACCGGGAACAGGTCCGCGCACTCCACCATGCCCGCGGCGCGTGAGGCGTGCAGCGGCGCAGTGGTGGCGCGCTCCCAGCAGAGGAAGTCTGTTGTAACACCCCTGGTGTTACGAGCCCATTTAGCACCGTGATTTAGGCCTAAGAAAATTTTCGAAACAAATTTCTCGGGTTTTTATTTAAAACGTACTTGCTGTGATAAGGGAATCGTGTGTGACTTAGTTTGTAGACTCGAACCAACGCTAAGTTAAATTCTCCGTACGTAAAGATATTTAGGAATGTCCGATAACAATTCTAGTAAATAAATGGCGAATGGTTGGTTCTATAGGATTAAGTGTGAAAAACAATTTTTATAAACCAAATAAAATATAGCTGGTAATTCATATTTAGATAAAAGTTTGAAGTGCAAGCTTAGTAGATAAAATGCTATTTTTCGGCGTTTGAATTCTAACAAAATTTTCTAAATCTTAGTTTCGTGTTTGGTACAATTTGTCGCATCAAAGTGTGTACTTGCGCCTTCGTCGCATTAGTAAGTTGTTTTCGGTTCGCTTTTAAAAGCGTGCACGACGTCGTTCCGACCAGCCTGGCCACTGCCACTGCCTCGTTCTGCGCTGTGCTCCTGCCATCTTGCGTCGCGTCCTGGTTCCTGCACCGCTGTGACACTGTCGGCCGTCCGATGCCATTGCTGCGCGTGCACGATCTCCCTGGCCACGAGTTTCGCAGCGCCGTGGTCTGTCTTCACGTCCCGCCAAGACTGAATCGTCTCGTCCATGCACTGCTATCCTACGCCGGCCAAGTGCGTGTCTGTGCTGGCACTTGGCCACTGCCCTCGCTGGTATTGCCCCGGCGTGCGCCTTGCCGGCCGCCCACGTGCGCTTGTTTCCTCGTCGGCCCGCTCGCGTCCTTGCTACCATCGAGTCGCCGCTCGCTGTGTTCTTGCCTCGGTTGCCTACCTTCCTTGTCTCCTTTGCTTGTCGTCGCATCACTCTGTCTGCCTCTGCTTGTCAGCTCAGAGTCTTTACCACTGAGTGAAGCAACGTAGCTCATCTTGTCGCGTATGTCGTGGCCCGCTGCCGCCGTGGCGCTCCAAGCCGGTCGAGTCTCGCGCTGTTTCTCCTCCTCCTTTTCTTCTCTGCTGCCGAAGGGAGGCGTCCCAACTCCGCTCGTCCTCCCAGCTCACTCTCCCGCTCTTCCTTGCCTTGTCTGCTTGTCTTGCCGCCGTGCCGTGCACCCGCGGTGGCAGCGCCCATCGCCGCCGGCCGTCGTGGGCGCGCGCACGTGAGTTCCCGCGGCCCGCGCTGGACCGCTCCACCTCCGGCTCGCCGTCCCCGCAGCGCTCGCCGGGGCCACGCTGTCTGGTGCCGGCCCTTCCTCACGCGAATGCACGCGTACCCCCGGTCCCGCTGCTCCTCGACCTCGCGCTAGACCGAGCCACAGCGCTACTCCTCCTCGCATCCCGAGCTGCAGTGCCACCGTCGCTGCTCCGCGGCGCTTCCCCTCCAGTCGCGCTGTGGCTGCGCCGCCATTGCAGCGTCTCGCGCTCACGTTGCCGTGCCTCCCGCGGACGACCAAGCCAACGAATCGAATCAAGGTCGCGCCCTCAGCGGCTGCTTCGGGCGACCTCCGCTGGCACCTGCGCTGCTTCCCTTGTCGGCCATCCCCGCGCGTGCCCCGCGGTCCGCTCTGGACTGCTGCCACACCTGTGCGCCCGCCATCGCAGCGGCTCGCGCCGTCGCCTTGACCGCATTCCTTCCGGTCCAAAATTCATCGTACACAAGGTATATCCCTCCAATTTCTTGAATCCCTTGCATCATGAGGAGGTGATAGAGAGCTTTGACGTGGATTGGAAGCCGTTAGTTCATCAGAGCGCACGTGCGTGCCGTTTTCGTCGTCGACCGCCGCGCTGAAAGGGTCGAGATGGCGGACTAGAGGGGGGGTGAATAGTCTTTTCTAAAATTAATCGCGTCGGCTAACCGATATAAATGCGGAATTAAAACAATCGGTCTAGCCAAGACTACACCCCTCTATATATGTTCACTAGCACCTTGCAAAGATACTAATAAAGCAACTAAGGTGCCGGGCTAGCTAGAGCTCTCCTAAACAATTTTAGGAGCAAGGTCACACAAACCTATGCCACTAGTACTTTAAGTAACAAGGGAGCTCCTACATATGCTAGTAAGCAAAAGCACAAAGCTAACTAAGCTCACTAGCAATGCTCAATAACAAGGCAACCAATGCCTAATTAGAGAGCGCAAATACTTAGCTACACAAACTAAGCAATGTGACTAACAAGGTTACTAAAACCAAATTAGCCACGCAAGGGAGCTACTTCTATGCTACACAAGCAAGAAGGTAATTAGCTAGCTACACAAGCTATCTAATTACAAGAGTAACTACACAAGCTTAAGATATATATTTAAGTAATTGCAAGCTTGTGTAATGGGGATGCAAACCAACGGGAAGAACAAGGTTGACACAATGATTTTTCTCCCGAGGTTCACGTGTTTGCCAACATGCTAGTCCCCGTTGTGTCGACCGCTCACTTGGTGGTTCGGCGGCTAATTAGCATCACCCGCTAAGCCCGCACGTCGGGCACCGCAAGAACCTACCCCTTGAGTGAGGGTAGCTCAATGACAC